TCAGCCCACTCTCTCCAAGCATACAAGGTTTCTGGTGAGAAATCTGTTTATATCCTTATTGGAATTCCCTTGTATGTGATGATTCTTTTTTTTCTTGTTGCTTTTAAGATTCTTTGTCTTGATTGTTGAGAGCTTGATTTTAATGTGTCTCAGTGAGGTTCTCTTTTAGTTGGTGTCTGTTTGGGGATGTTTGAACTTCCTGCACCTGGATAGACATATTTCTCCCCAGACATTTTCAGCCATTTATTTTAAGTAAGGTTTCTGTCCCTTTCTCCCTCTCTCTCCTGTAATGCAGATACTGTTTCTTTTGATTATGTCCCACAGTTCACAGAGGCTTTCTCTACTCCTTCATTATAATTTCTTCATTTTCTTCTGAATGAATAATATCAAGAGATATGCCCTGTAGCTCACAGATTCATTATTCTACCTGACTGAGCCTACTGTTGAAGCTATCTGTTGCATTTTTTATTTCATTCTTTGTATGTTTCATCTCCAGAATTTCTGTGTGGTTCTTTTTTATAATTTCTATTTCTTTCTTATTTTGCTCATGTATTGTTTTCTGGAGCTCATTGATTTGTCTGTGTTCTCTTGAATTTCTCTGAGCCTCCTTAGAATCATTATTTTGAATTCTTCTTCATATCACTCACAGATCTCCGTTTCTTTGGGGTCAGTTAATCAAGTATTATTTTGTTCCCTTGGTAGTGTCATGTTTCCTTGCTTTTTCATGTTCTGATGGGTTTGCATTGTTGTTAGTGCATTTGAGCATGCCTTCACCTCTTCTAGTCTTTTCAAACTGGCTTCAGTAGTAAAAGACTTTTACCTGGAGGTTGCTATAAGGGTGCTTGCTCAGTGGGATGCATCTTTGCTTCCTGGGAAGGCACAGCGGTGTAATCTCTGTGCCACTTCATTGGCTGAGGTTGCCATTGGCAAGGCTGTAGGGGTCTCTGTGGCCAAGGCTAAAGAGGACTTACAGGTGGCAGTGGCAGGTAGTGTTATTGGAATCTTTAGAGGTTAAAGCTGCTGGGATCTCCCTGTTTCCCCTTGCCTCCAACAATTTTTGCCTAAGGGAGGAAGGCAAGGAGACCCTTTTTAGTGCGTGGTCTGGCATGCTGATGCTCAGAACCCTCAGAGCGGTCTTGGAGCCAGTGTCCTTGGATCAGGCACACATGAAGCTCCCATAGCACCATAGTGAAGACTGTGGGGACCTGTGTAGCAAAAACTGCAAATTTCCATACTGGTGAGGCTTACTAAGGTTCTTCTGCTCTCCCCACCATGTGGTGAACTTCTGAGGGGATCCCTTCAGGTGCAGAGCAGTTCCTAACCAGAGGAATAGGGTGACATGGGAGCATACTTCCTGTATTTTTCTATGCAGGCATCCTCTATTTTTGAGCTCCTGGGTTTTTTGCTGCTCCTTCTTTATTGTTTAGAGATTTCCCTGTTCTGTTTTCTTCAGCTTGTAGTTGTTTGTTTATTTTTCTTGTTTCTCTCCTGGGGAGATGAGCTTTGGGACCTCCTAGCACTGTTTTGCTCATATCACCTTCTGCACAGTAATTTTGAGTTTTCTTTATTTTTAAAACTATTTTCCCCCAGGAGATACATGGTATTAAGGAAAATGCCATCCATTTAACAAAATAAATTCCTCCTTTCTTTGGGTTGTGGTATGAACTGCACCAGCAACTGCGCATGTCTGCCTCTCCTGCTTCCCCCTAACATAAACACACCTGGGTCTTCAATGTGGTTGGACTAATGCTGTACTGCCAGTATTCTGTACTTGGTCCTTAGATGGCCAATAAGCTTAACTTTGTCCCACAGCATAAAAGTACATATCTTTCAAAGACATCTCATTAAATTTTCAGGAGTTTTGGAAAAAAGGAATGACCAACCCTCAGTGTTTATTGAGCTTTACCATTTACAAAGCAGTTTTATGTTTATTATCTACTTATTTATTTCAAAAGCTTTGTAAGGTAGGAAATTTGTATCCTCATTTTACATGTAAAAATACAGGTCATATGATCAGTTAGTGGCTGAGCCAGAACTAAAACTCTGTTCATTTAATCCTAGTCTAGAGGACTTACCACTACTCTATCTTTATGACTAGAAAAATGACTAAACCTGCCTAACCTATAGACAATGATGAGTAACATCATTTTCCTGTTTAGATGATGGATTATTAACATTAAATCCAATGATTAATGGCAGATATAAAGCAAAACAGACATGTTGTTTGCTTCAGTCTCATTAACTTAAACATGTGGCTTTGAAGAATTCTATTCTCCTGGTGTCTTAGGTGCTCTATATGTAAAATAAAGGGACTGCATTATATGACCTCTAAGGTGCTTCATAATTTTGACGTACAATGATTCTCTGTTGTTCCCCTGAACTATTTTGGATTGGCACAAACTTCAGAATATTCAGCATGTTGTGATTCACTTATCGAAGAAGATAGAGTTCTGACATGGGGTCTAGATTAAACTACCTTCCAGCCTCTCATGGAATAATTGAGTGCATATCAAGAGAAAAATTTTTCAGGAATTAAGTGCAGAATTGGAGAAGTCTATTGAAAATTGTTTTGGAGTGCTATTTAGCATTGATATTTGATTTCAAAGTTTAAAAATCAGTGAAGAATGCTGCTAACATATCAACACAGTGTCAGCAAGGGGTGGGAATGTATTGTCATGGAAGTTAGATTTCAGAAACAGAGGCAGCACAGCATACTGGCTGTTATTCAGAAATTCTGGATCCAGATTTTAGCTTTCCCATTAACACTCAGGGTGGTTAAAAATTACATTTAGGGGCTTTAGAATTCCCATGTATAAATCCACCAGGAGTAAATAATCTCTGAAGCCCTTTATAGCTCATCTATGACTCTGTGAGGATTCCCTTTTCTATCTCCTTCCAAGTCCAAGAAATGTTTTTTCATTGAATTCATACATCTGTTTCCCAGAAATCAAATTAGGTGACTGGGTTCAAGATTCCCTGCGGTGAGTGTTAAGGGATAATGAGAAAGAGATTTGCACAAAATCAACTGTGTGCCCACAGCCCATGTAATGTGGATTGAGCCAAGCGGGCCATTGCCTGACAGGATGTCTGCATTTATCTCATCAGCTGTCAGCCTTGTGCTACAGTTCCTCTCTTTCTTCCCCCTTGCCGGTGAGGTATCTGTATCTCTATTGGTGCTCTGTGCACTAAACCACAGGCTTCCAGTTCCTCTCTGGGCAAAGCTTTCTTTATGGCTTTGACTGATGAGGGTGTCAATATTTTCTTGATACTATTTATATTTGAATAATGTATTCAAGTGAATTAACTACCATTTTAGAAAAGAGGAAACAAATTTTGAATACCTCTAGATATTAAACATTAACCCTGGTGATTTAATACAGTATTTAATACTGATACAACATATCTGTGAAGTTATTTTAGTTGTAAATATGCCAAAGCTATTACTAGAGGTATTACATGATGCCTCAGGTCACACAGTTAATAAATTCAAATGCATGTCTCTAGACTCGAAGCCTAGTCCCTTTTTCCTTCCATGTGTATCTCTTTTATTATTTGATCTCTCAGCTTGCTTTTTCTTTGCTATCACAACACCTAGAACAGTAATAGGCACATACGTGGTGTTCAACAAAGATGCATTGAATGATTAAGTGAATTGAATTAGGTTTATGAATTAAGGACATTGGGGTTCAAAATAACTTTTCTAAGGTGATCAGCTAGAGAGTGGCAGGTGAGAGTGAGAACTATTCAGTTCAGATACTTCCACTATTCTCTAGATCTTTTGCAGGGTCTTTTTCAGAATGGGAACCTGTCTCGGTGCTAGGGAAAAATATTGCTGGGAAGACATAGTGACCATCTCTTAAGACTCCTTTTCAACTGTTATCCTATGTCTTTTATAACCATTATTAACCGGAAGCTAGGAATAGTTATATCTCTATTAATGGCAACCTTCCGGGTCCAAGGTTAAAACAGGGAAACTGAGACTGAAGGAGATGTACTGTGACTTTCTTAATGATCTGTTCCAAATCACAAGTACAGCCGGCAATAGGACCCAGGATTTCTGACTCCTAGTTTATTATCTGATTTTACACCATGCTTCTTGACCCTAGGCAATAGCCGTTAATTTCATTATCTCTCTTTCCCTTAAAATTCCCAGAGCCTTTCTTTATTTCTAGTCCTGTCAAAGCACACCAGTCTCCCCCTCACAAAGTAAAAGTATCAGCCACAGCCTTGGCCTGATTAGGTGTTCAGTAAAGTGCCCCGTGCTTGGAAAGGCTTACGGAAGCCACCCAAACTGAAGCAACAAGAGGCGGCTGAGGATCTCGGGAAAATCAGGAGACTTGGATTATAGCCCTATCTTTGCTTCTCATTAGCAGTTTGACTGTGGGAAAATTGGGTGCCTCTCTGAGCTTATTTCCCCATGTATAAAATGAGAAAGATTAGGGAGTCTCTTAAGAGTCCTGGTAGCTTCAACATTTAATGGACGACTATTGCTTTGTTGTCCTATCTCCATAGGATGGTTGATAGGCAGACCATATGCAGTTCAGGGTTTGTCTGGTGCTGTTGTTCTGTGAACCTATGTTTCTCTAGACTGGAAGAGGGGTAAGTTCTTAGTAACAAAATTTTCCTTTTTTATTTTGAAGCCCATTCACTCATGCAACAAAATTTGATGAGTCAACTTTATGTCGGGTACTGCTCCCAGGGACATTCTGTCTAGGATTTCTGCTTGTGTTTCTTCACTGTTGGGTTGGGGTTGAACCATATATTTGATAGAGTGCATGCCAGTGCCAGAGTGAGAGCTCAAATGTAAGAGACCACCATTTGTCTCCAATACAGATAATCATTGGGACAAATAGGAAATCATTGCTGGTTTGGTTATGATAAAGGACTATTGAATTGACTAAATCTACTGCTTGAAATCTTCTTGGATTAAAGTATTTACACATGTCATTGTTTCCTATTAGAACTTTTATTTTTCATGTCCTTTTCTTCCACTGCCTCAGGCTTTCTCCTAAGCATGCCCCGGATATTCCTGATGACAGCACTGACAACATCACTATCTTCACCAGAATCTTGGACCGTCTTTTGGACGGCTATGACAACCGGTTGCGACCTGGGCTCGGAGGTCTGTTACTACTTTAGGATATTCTCCTTAGCTATTGTAACCTAAAAAGATTCTTACCATACCTTCCGTAGTCTATTGACCCATGATGTTACTGTAAAGCTGAGTTTCTTCCCTCTGAGCACTGGAAATTCGTTGTAACCCTTCATTTGAACGGTCAATCACTCTGGTCTGGTTTTGGAAGGTTCTGAATTTCCCTTAGGTAAATGCATATGGGATATTATACCACAACATCTGGCCAAGCCCACTTCTGTTAACAAAATACCAATCCCTGTCTGGATGGCAGGTATGGCCGAGGAACAGCTGGGAAACATGCCTTGCTCACAAAACTCTGAACACATGTCAGCCTGACCTTCCAAAGAAGAGTAATCTGCTGGGCTAGGTAGTATCTTAGTTGGCCATCAGTTTAGTATGATCAACAATATGATCACAGTGGGGTAAATGCATTGTAATACATCTTGGGCTGTATTGAGAGGGGAGATAAGCAAATGTATGTGTGTTTAACTTTTTTCTTTAACCATTTGAGAATTAGTTGCATATATCAAACCCCTTTGTCCTTAAATAGTTCATTGTGTATTTCCTTAAAACAAAGAAGTTTTTGTATAAAATTGCAATGCAATTATAAATTCAGAAAATTTAAACTGACATTATACTATTTTCTAATCTATAATCCATATCCAATTTTTCCCAATCATCCCCAAAGTATTCTTTATAGCATTTTCCCTTGATATAGGATTCAATCCAGGTTTATGCATTGTATTATTTTCTCATCTCTTTAGTCTATAATCTGTTATCATTACTCCACCTTTCTTTGTATTTTATGACATTGGTTAGATTTCCCTTCATTTTTGGAGGGAATACCACAGGAGTTAATTGTGTCTTAGTACATTGCTCAAGAAGAGCCATAATGTCTGTTTGCCCCATTATTAGGAATGTAAACTTCAATGTTCACTAGGTTACTGCTCTCTAAAATCACCATTTTTTTCAGTGTATAATTAATAAGTCGTTTGTAGAGAAGTGCTTTGAGATTCTTTTCCTCTTTCAGCTTGCACCCAGTAGTTTCAGCAATTCTTAGTTATTCTTGTATGAATAATAACTGTTATGGTTGTAAAATGGTGATTTTTTTTTAAATCTATTTTTCCTCTGCTTTTACTACATGGCATTCTGTTGTAAGAAAGAAACATGTTCTTCTCTTTAATTAATTAGGTAACTATTAGCATGAACAGATGGATTCTTGTTTAATGAATTATAATCCATTAATAATATTCATTTTTAAATAGAATTTGTCCTCATAATTTCCCATATTTGCTTAGTGGGAGCCTATACAAGCCGGCTTTCATTTTCTTTGGCTGTGTTATTTATTGAGCTTATTTTAACTTTAGGGTATAACAGTATATCCCAGACTTACCTTGCACTCTCTGTTATTCAGCCTTGGAATCAGTCATTTATCCAAGAAAAAATGGTACCTTTTTTGTGGGAAATTATATTTAAAATTCAACTTCTGAGTGCTAGGTGTTTACATTGCCAGTGGGGTGTCATTGCTTCTAGGACTTTTCAGTAGACAGAGTTGGGAAAATAGCAAATTATATGTTATACACACACACACACATGCATATATATACCTGTCTATATTCATATATAAAATATATACAAATATGTGTATCGGTATACACATACAGGTGTGTGTGTGTACATGTATAATGAGTTTATACTGATACCACTAATTCCAGTCCAATACAGTATCTTGACTGATTTACTCATTTTTTCAATCTTACAATATATGGAAGAAAATAGTGTTGGAATTGCTATAACTGTGCCATTACAATAAACTCACTTAGTAAAGTTAAAGATATATTTGCAGTTTTTTGTTGTTGTTTGTTTTTAGATGAAGGCTATATGACTCTTGCTTTGATATAAATAATGGGTAGGAGCAGGGCAGTATTCGAGGAAGAGAAGACCAGTCGCAAATCAATGGCAGTTGTCCACAGTGAAGGTGATGACTGTGGGAACATACAGAATTTGGCGACTAATTAAATTATGGGGTTAGGGAAGGGGGAGGAGAAAAGGATGACATCTAGGTTCCTGGTTTGGTTGACTGGGTGGTGCTGATTTTTAAAATAGGGAACATTGGAAGAACTGTGTTATTTTATTTCATTTTGTTTCTTTTGGAGGTGTGGTTGGAACAAAAAAGGTAGAAATTAATTCATTGTAGACATACAGAATTTGACTACCCATGAAAAATATGAGTGGAAAAATCCTTTTGCTTCTGGCTAACATGGAGTGATAGGGATGAGATGTACCTACTTATCTTAAAAACAACTAAGACATGAGCAAATACATAGTGGTTTTCAGAAATCAAATAAAGGCAGCACAGGACAGTGATGCTTGAAATAAGGTGAGTCCTATGACTGTACCAGATTATGGCCTGTGTAGAATTTCTGGCTGCTGTGAAGGGAGGGAGAATCCAAATAGTGCCTGGTAGACTCTCTCCATTGATGAGAAAGAGCTGTACATTTGGGGAAGTCACAGGCTCTAAAATGTGTAGGGCAGAGAAGAGCTGAGAGCCACATGGAGAACATAGAGTTGTACACAGAGAGAAAGAGATCCAGAGATCTGCAGAGAATTTCCCTCAAGTTTTCAGCCAAGCTTAGCTTATGCATGTGAGAAAACAACCTAAGGTTGAGGAAAGGACCAGTGAAAAACAGAGGATGTTAGCAGCAGGCTTGGGAATAGTTGTGTGCCCACCAACTAGAATGGAAAACGTGTACCCCATGGGGCATGGGGTAGGGTACTCAGAAGGATATGTCCTCACTGCTGTGGCAGAATGGTCCTCAAACCAAAGGCTGCTTTGGTTCCACCTAACCAAACTGTTTCCAAGAAACTTAATGTTATCTCAGAACAAAGTCTAAGAATATTTACAGCAATACAGAAAATACCTAGTATCTAACAAAGTGAAATTCACAATGGCTGTTATCTAGTCACAAATTACCAGGCATGTAGAGAAACAAAACAATAAAACCTGAACAAGGCAGAAAAATCAATCAATAAAAGAGGTGCATAAATGATCCGGATGAAAGAATTAGTAGATAAGTACATTTAAAAAACAGCTTTTATATCTACATTCATATTCAGAAGGAAGAACTCAACAGGAAAATTTTAACCTTTTTCAATTAAAAAAATAAAAAATATGATATGAAGCCATACTAAGAGGAAAACTTATAACACCATGTAAGAAAACATTAACCTCAAATCAATGCCCCAAACCTTCACCAGAAGAAACTAGATAAAAAATGAGGTAACAATAATAATAGAAATAATAAATATAGGAGCAAAAATCAAAAGGGTAAACCCTGTGAGCCATGGCCCTAGTTCTGGGGGTGGGAACATGGCAGACTTTTCTCTGAGGGACAGCCCCACTTCAGCTGCTGAGTGCTTGACGGAGGGATGTTGGCAGCAGCCCCGGGTGTCCTTGGCTTGCGTTTTCCAGCATGGACTACTGTCCCATGAGTCAGATCATGGGCACCTGAGACCCCATCTCAGTAGTGTCATGCCCAAGTTAGAGTTTCAAATCTCATGAGTGGGAGCTGGGATGACAAAGAGATCTCCTGCCTTTCAGCCACACCTCTCCAGAATTTAGCCTCAGCAGCAGGTAGTTTGCTCCAGAATGAGAAATGCTGGCATCCTGCCCCTCCCAGGAAGATAGTGTTCCAGGTGGGAGAAGGAAGAACAGACAGCCATGTGTTCTTTCTTGGCTGCACCAGTCTTGAGTATAGTTTCTGTCCTCACGGAACTGGGACAGGGAAAGGTGGGAATAGGTGTTGTTTTTAATATTCTGTATTCTTAATTTCCTTACTGAGTTTTAGTAGATGTTTTTGAATAAATAGGGTTTTTTCTTGAATAGCTTTTTTTTTATTGTATTCCCTTAGGATAATTTCCAGAAACTTTAAGTGGTTGTTTTTTAAAATAAATTTCACCACTTTCACTGAGAAGCAGGCCTGTAGAGCTCATCATGCTTTCATGCCAGAAGTGGGACTTCAAGTGACTTAAAATAGCATTCATCACATATTGTATCATATGAGAAGAAAGACGGTTTTAATCCTCTGCAGTATGGATGCTTGTTTTTCGTTATTTTTGCTTTATTGCACTGACTAGACCTCACATACAGTGTTGAGTAGAAACGGTTAAAACAGGCACCATTGTCTTATTCTTGATCTTAAGGAGAAAGCTTCCAGTCTTTCACCATAAAGTAAAATGTTAAGTGCAAGGTTTTCTTAGGTGTGCTTCATCAAGTTAAAAAAATTCTCTTCTATTCATAGTTTGTTGAAAATTTTAGAATATTTCAAATGCTCTTGCTGTGTCTAGTGAGTTAATTATATGCCTTTTCTTTTTTAGCTTGTTAATATGGTAAATTACTTCGATTACAAAATGTTTAAACCAACCTTCATTCTCATGATAAATGCCATTTACATCTTCATTACTATTTATGATTGGTTTGATATCTGGTAGTGTAAGTGTCCCAGCTTTGTTCTTAAAGACTGCCTTGGCTCTTCTGGGCCCTTTGCATTTCTAGATTACTTCTATAATCAGCTCATGATTTCCTGATAAAATCTGGGATTGCTTTTGCATTGAGTCTTTAGGTTAACATGGGGAATATTTTTTTAAATACCAAATCTTCTAAATGCTGAGCAGCATATATTTCTCCATTTCTGTTGTGATCCATTAATTTAATTTCTTTTAGATTTTATACATACATATTTATATCCTCTTCAGTTAAAGTAGAACAAAGTAATAGCAGGCATCCTTGTATTGCTCCTAATTTCACTGGTAAAGCTTTTGATATGTCACCATTAATAACAGATTTTGTTATTGGTTTACTTTGTAGATACTCTTTTTTTTTTTACGTGTTCTATAGGGGAAGTAGGTTTTGGTAGTTAAAGATATTTGAAATACCTTAAAAAAAACTTTACTCTTGGACTTCTCAGTACCTTTTCAATGTTAATGTG